GTAGCTCACTTTCCTAAAGGATTTATTATTATTTTTTTTGTGTCCATTGTTAGGATTAATTATAACTTTATTTTATTATTATTTTTGTTTCCATTATTAGGTTTGGTAGATGATTTATTTCATTCTAAGAGCTTAACATGTACAATCAAGCTATATCATAAGCTTTGAGTCTAGTGAAAGGTTTTTCAAAATCTTTCCACTAAAAATGATTTAAATATCAGGAAGTCATTATCCTGTGATTGTATTGAATTGATTTTATGGCTCCATTCATAAAGTATCAAGCATCAATTGAGATGGAAGAGGAGTTAGAGAATTACATAGTGCAGATGGAGTCTCTTACAATTGATTTTCACGAGGAGGTTTGCCTGAAAAGGATAAATAATTTAACCATAAATTACCACAACTCTAGACATTGGAAGAAAAATCTCAATGATTGCTACAGTAGTTCATGAAGGGGATCATCATTCTCATGTTTTATTGGGAAAAAAATGGGGAAGATGAGTATTTAATGGAGTTTCTTGAAGCTTGTGAATTATGTTAGATGTTGTGAACTGAACCCAGGCCATTAAATTGAGGCCTATTTATATTTTAATTTAAATGGTTTGGTTAGAAGGTGGGTAGAACTTATAATTTCATGTAGTTTTTGGGCAATCCAATGAGATGCGGTAATGTGTCAGAGAAGATTTTAGGAGAAAATGATAGTTGGTTTGGCAGGTTAGAGCTAGACTATCCCTTGACTTATTCTTGATCTATTCAAATTGGAATGCAAGTGGTTTCATGACAATTGAATAGGCCTTACAAAATAAATAAGTAATGCTTAAGAATGGATTTAAACCGATTCCAAAGGTTTTGCTGGTTTGATAATCAATTGGTTCATTAATATGAACTAATTAAACTTTATGACTAGGTAGTTTTAGGCTTGATTTAAGTGGTCTGATAGTAGTTGATTACCATGAGTAGGTTGCTAAGTGTTTTAATAAATTCATTAAGTGCGGTTTAGTTTATAATTTGATTGGAGTTTTATTTAGATTTAACTTCTTTTGGATGAATTTTAATTTTGCATTAGATTTTTTAGTTTTGATTGAGCCAACCAAAGCTTTCTTAGTGCTAGGGTTCACTTAAATGACATTTCTAGTAACTATAATAAATATTCAAAGTAAATAATTTGATTTTTGATTTAAACAAGTCAAATATACGAAAATTTTTTATGAGTTTATAATACGTTATTAGTGGGTTAAAAAAGATTAAATGAGTTTTTCATCTCAATTGGAATCCAAATGCGATTGGTTTGGATTTTAGGTAAGTGATCAACCTAAAGCTTTTAGAAATTATCATATTGATTCGATTTAATAATAAATTGTTTTTTTTTATTTTAATCTAACTACACATACTACGATTGTGCTATATTGATCATAAGACCTAATTAACCATAACTGAAGTTAAAGGAACCTTGAGTTTGAGTCTAATTGGTGGACTTTAGGTTTTTTAGACCATAATTAATATGATCGATTAATTATTTTGAGCTATTTAAGTTGACTGATTTGAAAAGGTTCCTAATAGGTTATTAATGATTCATGCTAATCCACTTAGGCAAAACAGAGTCTTGTTTTTTTTTAATTCAAATTAAAATGATTGCACTAGATATGGATAAGATTTTGGTTTCATTTGATTTGATTTAATTTTCATCTAAAATTAAAGGGTCCAAAGGGTTCTAAAAGGGGAATTTGACTTTGCTCCTAGCTCTAGATGACCTAACTATGATCAGTTTAGTTCAATTAAATGAGTTTAGGGTTGATATGAGCCCTACATAAACAATGGGGAGTTGATGGCTTTTGTTTTGGATTTTCACTTAGCCATAACTTTTCCTTTTTAGGAAGTGTATTGAGAAAATTTGTAAGACTGGATTCTAGAGTCTAGGATAGGATGGAATAGAGAAAGCATTAACCTCATTAAAAATGAGTTGAACAACAACATATATACTTGTGTATACTATAAACACATATCAACAATGGCATGTCGATTAAAATATTTAACTTTGTCGAAGGCCCCCCTATGTTTCGTAGATCCACTTAGGTTAGAGCATCTTCAAGAAGCTTGCCAGATGATTCACCATCAAATTATATGATAAGATCTTCAATCAAACTGTCATTAGAACGAAAACTCAAAAGGCCAACACACATCTTATTGGTGAACACATATTTGCATAACCAATTACATGTTCTTTAGGGCTAAGAGAAAGATTTCTAGAGAGAGTTGTTACTCCATTTCATCTCCGATTGAGTCATTCTTCTCACTATAGAAATCAAGCACCACATTCAGATTTAATTCACTTGTACTATCAGTGCAGGGATGATCCTCTCCTACATAGTGGTTACTTATGAGTTCACTGTACGTAAAATTGATAACAAAATGTATTATTTAATCATGAGTAATATTAACACAAATTTTACATTATCTTTGATCTGTATCCAAGGACATATCACCAAGCCCCTTCAAATTTGCCCTAATCTAGTTCCAACATCGACAAATTTCTAATATACTCTAGCACCAAAAAAGTCTCCTATAGAATGACAACAGTAGTGGTCTAAGTCATAAGAGTAACACAATCATGAGATGAGGTCAAGGTTTCCTTTGACTATTTTGAAACTTTATTTATTCTCTCTGAGTAGCATTCCCTCCCCCACTTAGTGAATAAACATTTAAGGAGATCATATATGGGACAATCTGTACACTCTTTTGGAATATTCTCTATCCAAACTAGTTGAAAGAGTAGGATGCAAAGTATGTTATAGAGAAAAATAAGCTTTATGGATGGAAGAATGAATTAAATGGCACCCATTCACCCAATCTATATGAAATGAATGGTCCAAACTTCACATCATTAATATGATTAATTAATATTATTGATTCTATTAATATAAGTCGTTATTACAATTAGTATAATTCAGTTATTCATTCTGTAACTTTTCTATTAAAAGATAATATAATTGATGAACTAAATATGTCTAGTTGCATGTCACATAACGGAAATCAAGCTCAAAAGTAGTATAGTGTGCAAAGACAGACTACCAAATTCCATTACCCAACTCATCTGACCCAACTATCTTGCCAAGCAGATGAGTTGATATATATAAATAGCCCAATACTGGTTGTCAAGTACACACCGAGTAATAGCTCTCAAGTGCAAGTTTTCCATGTGCCAATAATGATTAGCTCACCCATTCGCTGAAGGGACCTGCTTCACCTCATTGTCTAATAGATCAAATCAGTCGAGAAGAGTAACTTGCCTTGAAGTAGTTTTGCTCAGCATAAAATTATCATAAAGGCTGAGTAGGATGAAAAGAATGTGACTTGAAAATGTTTTATAGAAAATAGACGTTGAGATATGAAATTGCAAGAGATAATTTTAATTATGTTGTAAAAGTCAGAAGAACATAAGAAGAGACAAGTTAAATAACTTTTGAGATCTTAGTGTAATAAGTATATATATAATTTTTGTATTATACGAAAGAATTCTCTATAAATAGAGAAAATTCCATGTAAAAAGGGATGGATCAGTCACCGAAGACTTTATCCCAAATTGCTTTTCTCCCTTATAATAACTAGTGATTTGACTATCATCGAGCTCACTCTTCTTTCTTCCTAACTCTTTTCTTGAGGTGTGAGTCCACAAACAGATCAAGATCCAACATTTATAAAGTTCATATGTAATAAGTATCAATGAAAATTTGCACAAATTTGTTGATATTTCTTTTTTAATCTACGATGAATTTCACATCAATGATTCTGATAGAAATTGTGGGTCGCAAATTTTCATTGGTAACAGAGCATTGTCTTGTACCGAACCTTGTTCGAGTATAATTTAAGTGAGACCATGTACTCAAGTAGATTTGTGAATTTCTATATTCAACAAGAGAATGGTTTTTGTGCAACTTGAGACTTTCATAATTATTTCCTGTCAGGGGGGTCAATATGGTGCCCTTTCAAGCAGCTTAAATTAAACTTGTAGCTACCACCTTCAATCCTACTTTTGAATGTTGATAAAAACTCATCTCTTATTTTCTTTAATTCATCATGTAGCTCTAAAATTGCATAATACTATTAAGTGAATTTAGTTATGATTATTCAATTTACTTTAATGAAACTTAGATTTACTTTATTTTAAATTTATTTAATTATATGATAAGTTCAAAGTTATCACATAATTAACTGTCACTTAATTTATGTTGAGAAATTTTAATCTACTCTTTATCAAAGGAAATAACATTTAAGCTCACTATTTGCCTAGCTTATCTTCTGTTCCGGTCAGGCCATAAGCTAAAATAAGCCATATATACAATTACTTAGCTTAAAAGGAGGTCAAATTATCAAAATATCATATTTTGAAGAGTCTATTTGAGGTCATTTTTTTAAATTTTTTACTTTAATTTTGCCTTTTTCTTTAGAACCAACGTTTGTTTAGCGCATTATTTACGTGTGTTTTTTAACGAATTAACTTAAATTTAAATCTACTCAAAATAACTAGGTGAATTGAATAATTTTAAAAATAACTATCATCATCAAATATATTTTATTTCAAATCAATGCATAAATAAAATAAAGTAAACTTCAATCTCAAATGGCCACCTTACACTTCTGTATGGCTTCAGTAGAGTCAAGCACAAACCTAACAAACAACCCTTTAATAATGTATATAAGGCTCATAAAATAGAATAGGAAAACTCAAAACTTGGCATGAAGAGAAGATACATATACTGCACCAATCACACATGTATTTATCTTGTTGCCCCCGGAAAAAATATTAGATGCACCTGCGGGCAACCAATAGGAGTGGGAAGAGAGAGAGGGGAAGGAGAGAGACTGTTTCCCTCCCCTCTATCTCTCTCTCCTCCTATTTGTTTCTCGCAGGTGCATGCAACGCTCCTCACCAACAAAAATGATCACCTTCAACCTAGTCCCAAGTGTTCTCCAAGTCTGTAAATATAACAATTAGGCCCTAGTTGATATATATTCATTCTAGTGGGAAAAGTTGAAGATGGAAGCCATCTGGAAATCCTAATCCTGGTGTCCGAATTATATTCCCTCCTTTGATAGCTTTCCACCTGCCCACGAAACAATTCCAAACATGCTATAAGAAAATTGAACATGTTTAGAAACACATCTGAGGAAAATGAGTAGGTTATAATGACAAGGTAATAAACACATTTTATAAAATTCTATATTCATAACACATTCTATAAAATCTAATAAGCATATAAATTTAATTACTTTATTCTATAATATGCTCATAAATCAAAGTTATAATAGCAAGGTAATTAAGAACTAACCACAGTTTTCTAATACTAATTACCTGTACTTAGTAACTAAGCAATGGAGGAATACAGCCATTTGCAGCTTACTAAAGTCGGCCCCAACACAGAACCTCATCCCTCCTCCAAAAACCATAAAATTTTTTGTTCCACCACTAAGCTCCGGTTTATCCTGAAATTAACGCAAATGCTAGTTTAAAAATTAAAAAAAAAAAAACTACTATGAAGATATAGGGCCCGTTTGGGCCCGTTTGAGGCAACTTATACAGTTTGAAAAACACGTTTCAACAGCTTATCCGAAAACGTGATTGAGTTTTTATACTAAACGAAGGCCGCGGATCAAACCTTGCAAGCCACCCACAGACTGTGTTTCAAGATAAGTTGCTTATCTAAATAAGCACAAGCTACCCCAAATGGACCCAGAATATAAAACTTATGGGTTTCCAAAAAATTAATTGAATATTTCAAACCTTCCATCTCCATGGATTGAAGGCCAATGGATCCTCATATATCTCAGGGTTCAAATGAACAGCCGGCGGACAGACCATAATCCCCCATCCCGCTGGAATGGTATATCCTGCATCCATTATTCTATGTACAGTTATAACAATATCTATCATAAAACTATTTATTTCTTTTAATTTTGTTTTAATTTTAAAATAATATGATACATTACCATTCAGATATCTATTTTCATAGAATTGATGTAAAAATATATATTTTTTAACAAATTTACACAAATTGAAATTGATTCGGCCATTGCTACTTCGGCAATTTTGAAGATTATTGAGTGTAAAGTAGCATGGAAATATATATATGTAATAAGTAT